ACACACAAACACACACACACACACAAACACACACACACACACACTATGTCTGTCTGTCTGTTTGTCTATCTGTCCTTCTTTCTTAATGTCTTTCTTTCTTTCAATCAGTGCTACTAATTTCTTCCAACTGTTTACTGATGTCTCTATAGCCGTGGTCTGTCAACATACCATCCGGCAGTGGCGGTGGGTGGACCAAAATTTGGGTGGGGCTTAGGTTGCTTCCACTTCTTTACCACCAAATAACGAGCAATAAGAACAAAACAGTGGTGATTTTTCCATACTCGCGGCAAGCTTCGGCATTTTGAGAACCATTCAAACGAGAAAAGTCACCTTTGTCTTCCTTCTCTTTGTTCTACGTTAAATTCTTCTGGATGCTGGCGATGAAACCGTTTCACCTCCATACTTCTCTAATTAATTTTCATCTGATGAAAAAGTTGCCTCGAAAGTGGTTTGATGTAACTTATAACTGTTAAATCTCTTCGGCACACACACACAAACATGCATACACAGCACTCCATGAGCTCAGAGCTGGATTAGGCCATGTAGTTGAGGAAAGCAGTAAGGAGACAGCACCTAACAAAGGTCCAATGGGAGTGCAGGTAACTGTGTCTCTGGGGAAAAGTGTGTCGTAAACTTTCACAGCTTTTTCAGGGCTTGGAGAGCGTGAGCCCTCCGCGCAGTGTTATTTTTTTCAAGTCTTCTACCTTTTTACAAGAGGGGTTTCATTAATGAGGGACCGTGGAAATGGGCTCATCCTTTCCTGAGCCCTAAAGACATTTGATTGGCTGTTAGGTTGCTATAGTTGTAAGCGGTGGCAACAGTGATTGGATAAACTAGTAAGCCGCCAAGTTGATCACTCTGTGTTCATTGCGTGCAATCATAACGTTTCTACTGCTTATATCATTATTTGTGAATGGTGCTGACGAAATGAGTTACTTCTCGGATTCGAGCTCTATGGAAATCGCTACATCATGCTTATAGGTGAAGTTTTTACAATTTATAAATATGAGATAATATAAGGCATGTTATACTTAATGAATGTGACATCAATGGAAAATCTACAAATGTGACCCTAGTGTCGATTTTTTGCCAATATCTCCATTTGTAGGTTGTGAGAAGTAACTCATTTTGTCAGCACGTCTCACATTTTCATTTGCTTTGGAATAGAGTTGGGGGGGAAGGGGAGGGGGCCTCAAGCCCGTGAGCTCTTTTCTACCCACCGCCACTGCCATCCAGTTCAAAATTTGGCTTGCCTTGCTTACTTTATCATGGAGTGATTATTTCAACGATCCTGTAATGCTTTATGCACCTAACAAAGCATTACCATTCAGAAATTCAGATTGATAGAATGCAATGAAAGAGCAAATTTTGAAAGCGCTTGTATGCGAAAAGCACTTTTGTTGTTTCTTTGTATCGAAAAAGATCTTCCTCTTTTAATGGTGAGAATTTGACTAATTGTGTTGTCTGGTCTGTCTACAGGAAATTCGATGCTGAGAATGCCTCTGTGTATGGAACCCTTATCTCACTGTTCATTGTCTTTGTATTTTTGGCTGTGTGGGCTCGAAGGAAAGTGAAAGAGGACATAGATAGGGTAAGCAATGTTTAACTTTTCATCCCCGGCAAGCCGCTCTGCGGTTGGAACTGCTGTTCCCGTGAGCCGCTCACATCGGCTCGAGCGCATTCTTTTACGACGACTTCGACATCAAATTACTTTTCGGTAATTGCTGAAAACAGGTCTCTTCTATCAGGATGTCATTCATTGGTTGAAGAAGTATCAAAATAGGTTCACTTGTTTTGATTGGATGACCAATGTAGTGACATTTTCGTCGTTTTTAGATTTAGTACCAAAAAAGGGCCCCGGCATAGTGGGTTTACCCCCTCAGATATAAAGAGTTAATGTTGTAATGGCAGTGCCATTATTTTGTTGTCTTCTAAAGTGATAGTATAAACAATGTTAGATGTTACAATGGGAGTACTATTAATTTGCTGTCTTGTGAAAATGTTAGGGTAAACAAAGTTTGACGTTACAATGGTAGTGCTATTAATTTAGTGTCTTACAAAAGTGTTCCCAGGTAGCCTATTTAGCGTGAGTGGCTAGCACTTATGTGACCTATTCATATTGTGATTGCTATAAAACTCATACAAAAACTAACTAAACAGGTATTTAGCAGTACTAAAATCTTGATAATAATTGATTCTTTAACCTTCAAGTCGTTGCGTTCATAACTTTTGAGTCATCTCTGGTTCAGAATCCGAATTATAATGGCTATCAATGTATGCCATGGGTTTTACTTTTCTTCCATTTTACAAGTTTTCTGACACTTTCGATATATTCTTTCTCCTATGTCAAGCAGTCACTGTCTGAATGCTAGTGTTTAGGGTGGTAAATGCTCAATTTACAGATCAGTCTCTTATGGGAGCACTTAGGTAAAATAATTGCAAGGACATTCTTTTCTCTTCTCATCTGGCTCCATCTATCCTGAACTCTCTTTCTCTTTCTCTTTCTCTCTCTCTCTCTCTCTCTCTCTCTCTCTCTCTCTCTCTCTCTCTCTCTCCCTCTCTCTCTCCCTCTCTCTCTCTCTCTCAATACTTGAGAGATACAAAGCTGGAAGCAAAATTTCAAATCCATTTAAAAACACAGTTCATGATTTGCTATCTTGATAATCAGTGTTTCTCTTTCATGGTACTCTTATGTCCCCAAGGTGATATGCATATAATCATTGATGGTGCTGTGATAGTATGAATGTCTGTTTATGTGTTCGCTTTAGTTGAAAAAACATATGTGTCACGACGCAGCGAATCAGGCGCTCCTCAGTTTTTGGGCATTTGGAGTTATTAGTATCATCTGAAAGTTGATTTATTTGCTTTGTTTCCTGTAAAATAAATATCCGTCTATCTTGAATAGAACTCAAGATATTTGCGAATGAAGGAAGTGAAGTCACCTAGTTTTCAGTGGTGAAATAAGCGAGGAAATGGAAGCCAAAGTTTGATTACTCCAATAGCTAAAGAGGCCTTGAAAAAAGAAGAAGACATATTTTGTGCCTTTAATCAATGTTTTTCAGAAAACTCGTATGGAAATGTGTTTTTATAGATGGACATGAAAGTGGTTGAGCTCCAAAATAAAAATTCGATAAAAAATTTCTAAACTGGCGGAAAAATGCTTGTTTCTCCGATTTCGTTATTTTGACGAGGGCCTGATTTCACCACGCTGCCTCACATATTATATGTAAATGCATTCATACACATGTATTTTGTGTTAAGATGAATGTTTCATAAAGCGTCTAGAGCTGTATTGCATGGGAGTGGGCAGAATAGAAATTATCTGCATTCTTCTTCTTCTTCTTCTTGTCCCCATTCAGTGGCAGGTGGGTTACCTTAGCGACAACCTGGGAATGGACAACTACTATTACCTACTGACCGTACACACTGGCCTCTCTCGTGGTTCCGGCACCTCTTCAAGGGTCAGTTTTGTTCTCACTGGAGTCAATGGGGACACCGGTGTGAGGCTTCTCACAGACGGGGAACGAGTAGGTATTTTTTATTATATTATATTATATGTGAGACGTGCTGACAAAATTAGTTACTTCTCACAATCCATAAATGGAGATATTGGCAAAAAATCGACACTAGGGTCACATTTGTAGATTTTCCATTGATGTCACATTCATTAAGTATAACATGCCTTATATTATTTCATATTTATAAATTGTAAAAACTTCACCTATAAGCGTGATGTAGCGATTTCCGTAGAGCTCGAATCCGAGAAGTAACTCATTTCGTCAGCACCATTCACATATTATAGTAGAGGGTTTTACGGCACTCGCAACTGCATAAGGTCATATGAGCGCCAAGGGGTGGGTGTCAACAGAGAAGTCTTTACAGGGAATCAGACTTATTCTGCTCACCTCTCTAGCTTCAACAGCACAAGGTCTGCTTCGACTATCAAGACACCCCGGAAATAGCAGGTCACAAGAGAGTGACAAACATACAAAAGAAGTAGAGGAAAATGACAATAGTAAGGATTAGGAAAGAAAAAGCAGCAGTTCCCTGTTGTAGATCAGGCACAGTTATGAGCGTGACATGATGAATCAGCCCATTTACAGTTCTACTGTGCTTGAACGAGAAATGTCCCCCCTTTGGGAATGGCCTAAAGACGCTACAGTCAGTGGCACTGCCCTGGGGAACGAGTAGGTAGCTTGTGAAGTGGATACGCTTACTTACATGTGTACTTACTCTGTCCTATATCTTCAGGTACATAAGACAGAGAGTAGTTGACGCCATGCTTGCCTGTCCCTGGTCACCTCCTCCATTCTTGGCACATCTACGCCCTGGATGATTGCTTCATCCCTGATTGTGTGCTTCTGTAACTTTCAGTTTGTCTACCTCTTTTTCTTTTTCCACTTGGTCTCCTATACCATGTTTGATAGGGCAATTTTGTCTCTGATATTTTCAAAACATGTCCTAAGTATCTCCATCTTCTCTTTTTATAGTTGTGTTGATATCTTTAATTCCAGCTCTTTCCAATACTTCATTATTGGTAATAAATTGATTCCATTTTATAAGTAAAATTCTTTGAAAGCATTCTTTTTGAAAGCTTTAAAATTCTTAATGGATACACTGTTTTGACAAAATATTAGGCCTATGTATCAATATTTGAGTCTGAGAGTATTTTTGTAATTGTTACTTCTCATGTCTCCACTAGCTAATTGGAAAAACCTCTATATATTCATGGAATATTACTTTTTTTTTAAACAAAAGTTTTTCAGGTCAAACATCCACCAATTGATCACACAATTGTTGACTTTAAAAACTGAGCCAGATTTATTTTTGACATGTCGTTAAACATCAATTGAAATTAAACTCTAAAATGTACACAGCGATAGTAGGACTTAAACGTTATTACACAATTTCTTCATAAGACTGAGAGATTCAAAAGACAAAACAGAATATTATTGTTATGGTTTTAACATGGCATGATGATGCTGCTGATGCTGCTGCTGGTGATAATAATGAAGATGAGATGATGAAGATCACTTTGACGAAGAGGGCTAGCAATTAGTCTCACTTTTCTGTTGCTGTTCTTTTCATCATTGAAATTAAAAACACCTTTTCAGACATAGGTCAAGGGTAAACAATGGGAAATAAGCAGCTTAGAGACCAGCAGAAGTGTGCTACTGGTCTGAATGTTTATGTCATTGTCATGAAGCTAGGCAAACAAGCCATTCCTGAAAGCTTGGCTTTATTAAACAAAAAACATCCAGCTAGTTTGAGTAGTAGACAGTGACTGATGATAATGCACAGGTGAACGGACATTGGACACAGCACAGCTACGTGATGCACTGAGGAACACTCACAAACACTGTGGGAAAGTAGTCAATAAGTGAACAGAGACGTAACAAGATAAATGTCATCACAGTTATTGTGTTAAAGTAAATATACCTTGCGGGCTTTGGTGCTGAGAGGAACTGAGCACTTGTGGACCTGTCCGGTTGCCCAGGACAGGCAATACAGGTAAGACAGTAGATATTTTGAATGTGATTAAAATACAATATCTCTCTTCCATTCTTTCTATTTTTACCTACTTTTTTGTTCATGTTCTTCAATGTAGCACCTGTCGACGGGGTCTGTTGTGACCTATGTCATGGCAACGCCATATGACCTTGGAGAGCTGAGCTATCTCCGAATCTGGCACGACAACTCTGGTGAAGGTCAAAACCAGTCTTGGTATCTCAACAAAATCTATGTGGAAGATCTACAAACCAGGACTAGGTAAGAACATATGAACAGTTTGTTTAACCCTCTTCTTAGCACCATAAATAGGTCAACAGGTCAACACAGCAGAACCAAAATGGCAGCCAGCTGATGGCTTCCAAGAACCGAATTATATCTAAGTGACGTATTTCAATTAAATTTCACATACGAAGGCCTCGAACGTCAGCTTCTAAATTTAGAGTAGAATATTCTATTTCTAAGACTACACTAAAGGGGGGTGTGTCAGTTAATGTGGAGGTCCTGCCTCTTTTATAATCTTAGAGTGTAGAAAGTGGCATTAAACCTGTACAGTTTCACAGTTTTTCCCCTTAGAAACAAACATCCCAGACAACCTGTGCTCAAGAATTTTCCTTGGGAATTTGTACAGTTCTCCAGCGCAATTCCAACTAAAGGTTGGTTGGCGGGTGCACTAGTGTCTAGCTTGCTTCTTCTTTCCTATCAAACATCTATGTGTGTTTGTTACTCTCTTGAAATACCTAGTCTTCGGCCCTCTATAACCTTATTCTGTTGCAAGTGCAGTAAAACACTTACTCAAACAAAGATTCCAACTGGAATAATGCATGCCCGAATGTCATGTGGGTTCCTGAGAAGATTGCACTTGAAATGAAAGTTGGAAATGGAATATGAGTTCAAATTCTTCATCTAGGAAGAATTAGCAGTTCAGTTTGTAAAAGTTAGTTGCCGAAAAGTAATTTGATATAGAAGTCGGCGTAAAGGAATGTGCCCGAGCCACTGCCAGCAGCTCACCAGCTCAGTGGTTCCAACCGCGAGCCGCTGGGAGTGGCTTGCCGGAGATAAAGAGTTGAATTTTTTATTATGCGTTAACCCGAATTATGGATGTGTCAAACCCATTTGTCAATCTCTAATGTGTTTTAGTTATCCTTGCCTGGCTGTATATTTGTGTAATAATATTCCATTTGTTATCTACATCAGGTCTGTGTTCTTTGGTAATCAATGGCTTGCTATGGATCAAGATGATGGACGTTTAGACAGGATTATACCAGGTAGTAATATGTGAGGCAGCGAGGTGGAATCAGGCTCTCGTCAATTTTTGGGCATGGAGAGTTATTGCTATCATCTTAAAGCTTGTTTACTTGTCTTTATTTGGATGAAAAAAATATCCATTTATCTTGAATACAAGTCAAGATATTTACGAAAGAAGGAGGTAGGGGTCACCTATTTTCAGAGGTAAAATTAGTGAGAAAATGGCCTCCAAAGGTTAGTTATTTCCTTAGCTTAAGAGTCCGTGGTAACTGAAAATTTACAATTTCTGTACTTTTAATCAACTTTTTTCAGAAAAATCCAAACAGAAATGTGCTCTTTAGTGGGCATGAAAGGTGTTGAGCCAAAAAACAAAAATTTAATAAAAATTCACAAACCTGCGGAAAAATGCAAGTTTCTTCATTTTGATTATTTTGACGAGAGCCTGATTCCACCACGCTGCCTCACATATAACTTAGTACTAATTTTCCTTTTTCTCAATGAGCATTAGAGATTAGTCATAATGAAACAATATCATCCTTTTTTCCTTTTTCTAAATGAGCATTAGAGATTAGTTGTAATGAAATGATATCACCCTTTTCTCTAGTGAGATTCTGTCTCATGGGATTGTCCTTCCCAGCCCCCTCTGTCTGATCCACCTGCCCCTACCCCTCCATTCCCCCCACTACCAAAAGAGGATGACATCTCCTACCCCCCTCCTCGGTCTGACCCCGGGAAGGGTGTAGTTCGTCACTTCTCCAATTCCCCCACTAGACTACCGTCCAATCCAGAACGGCAACCTAGAAAATACTCAGCCTCCCCTGCAAAGAGGAGTCGAAGTGTTTCTTCGAAGCCGGGTCATTTGAGGTCCAAAAACAAAAATAAAAAGACATAATGGCAGTCCTGCAATGGAATGCCGGTGGAATCTGACCTTCCATTGCAGAATTGCAACACTTACAGGCCACACTATGCCCACTTGTGGCCTGTATACAAGAAACAAAATTTGCCCGGCTTTAACCATAGACTTAAGAAGATTTACTGCGTATCATCACCTTCACACGCAGAACCAGATTGCTTCCGGTGGTACCACCATCCACACCGACAACAACACACTCCAAAGACAAATATATCTTAGGACAAGCCTCCAGACTTTTGCCGTTCGGGTCACCCTGCACAGACTAATCATGATCTGCTCAGTTTATATTCCAGCAAATTACCCCCTCAAAATAACCCAACTAAATAACTTAAAAGATCCAGCTCCCAAAACCCTTTATTTGGCTAGGTGATTTTAATGCCCACAGCCCCCTTTGGGGAGACAAACCTACAGACCAGAAAGGAAAAATAATAGACGATTTCTTATTTCAAAATAACATCTGCCTCTTAAATGATAGGTCCCCAACTTACAGAAACAGATCCCCTTTTGGGACTTCATCCCTTGACCTCACCTTTTATACCCCTGACCTAGTCCCAGATTTTGAGTGGTCTGTGCTGGATGACTGTACGGACCATTTCCCAATTCTAAAAAAACAATAGCCTCCAAAACGACCCGATCCCAGAACGCTTCAACTTCAAAAGAGCTCACTGGGACGGGTTCGCCAATCAATGTTCCCAGATTCTGAATCCCACTTTCGACCTCAACTACAAAATATTCCACGAAAAGCTTTTAGAAATATGCCACAAACACATACCAAAAACAAAAACAAAACCCCGGAAGAACAAGATCTGGTTCTCTCGGGACTGTGATGATGCAGTAAAGAAAAAGAAGGCGGCATATTGAAAGGCCGCCGACAACACCACTCCAGAAAACAAAATTATTTAAAGGCCCGAGCTGAGGCACGTAGCTGCCTCAGAGAGAGGAAAAGACAATCATTCAAAAATACATCTCCAAAATCAACAGCCAGACACCACTCAACCAAGTTTTCAAAAACGCTAACAAATTTTTGGGTAGACGTACAGACACCATCCGGCACGTCCAGAGGCCTGATGGAACCACAGCTGAAACACAGGTAGACCGCAAACACAGTAGCTACATCTCTCGTCAAAAACTCACCCCTAGCAAACTACAACACCACCTTTCAAAACATCAAAACTAACACTATACAGGGAAAGGATTCCCGTCCAGAACCAGGCTCGTTTCCTCGGCGTTATATTCGACAAAAAACTCACATTCATACCACGCATCAAAGACCTTCATGTGAGGTGCCAGAAAGCATTAAACGCTTTGAAAATTCTATTGCATCCGTAGTGGGGTGGGGACACAAATCACCTTCTCCACTTGTACATCTCCCTTGTCCGATCCAGGCTTGTCTACGCCTGTCAAGTCTACGGATCGGCAAAACCACACATCCTAAAAATGCTAGACCCACTGCAAAACCAAGGACTCCGGCTCGCTCTGGGGGCTTTCCCCACTTCTCTGGTGGAGAGCCTCCAGGCCGAGGCAAACATACCATCACTCACACTGAGATGCACACAACTCTCACCACAATACTCAATTAAACAGAGCTCAACACCAGAAAACCCAGCACACAACTGCATTTTTAAAACAAACCCAGAAACCAGAAACGAATTCCAAAACAAAGAAAAACTCATCAAACCCTTCGGCCTCAGAATCCTTGAGCACCTCAAAAACATATACTTTTCCAAACAAGACATCTAACAATTTCTTTTCTCCGACCTCCCTCTGTGGCACTTCACCAAGGCAAAAGTAGACTTCCAGCTGACCACACACGACAAAGCAAGCACAAACACCAAAACATTTAAAGCAGAATACACAAAACTTATAGAAAAATACCCCGGTGCGGAGCCTATCTTCACAGATGGCTCCAAAAAGACAATGATGTGGGCACCGCAGCCCTATCTCCAAACAGTGCACACCAGAGGAGACTCCATCCTGAAGCCTCCATTTTCTGTGCAGAGGCCACTTCCATTGACATGGCACTGGACTATGTAGAAAATTCTCCCAACAAATCTTTCCCTATCCTTTCTGACTCTCTGTCTTGCATCACCTCACTCACAAACTACACACTTCTACACCCAAAAATAGTTAGGCTACAACAGAAAATACACACCTTAACTGAAACAGGGAAAAGTATCGTGTTCGCATGGATACCTAGCTATGTGGGCATCTGGGGAAACAAGGAGGTAGATACCTTGCGAAGAAATCCTTATCCCTTCTGTTGGGATCAATGACGAACACTCTTCCACAGACTGATTTTAAAAATAAAGTCAAAAAGTACACCTCCAGTCTGTGGGAGAGCCACTGGAAAAAACAGACGGGTAACAAACTCCACAACATTAAACCCAAACTGGGACTGCGAAATCCTTGACCTCTCCAAAAGAGACGAAGTCATTTTTACTCGATTACGCATCGGACACACAGCCCTAAGACACAAATACCTCTTTCAGGGAGATGAGAAGCCGATCTGTCGGATGCGACACAAATTTTACCATTAGACACATTTTAATCGAATGTCTAGACTTCGGAGAGACCCGAAGGAAATACTTTAAATGCACAAAATTACAAGATATTTTTTCCGTCGTTGTTCCCAACAGAATTTTAGATTTTATAAAGGCCATTGGCCTTTATGGAAAGTTATGAAATAGATTGTTCGAAATTTTTAAGTGTTATTTAGAAAGTTGTTTTAAATTTAAATTTAAATCTAAAGCCTATTTACACTTGATTTTTAGCGTTTAAAAATTTTTAAATAGAAATATTGACCAGTATCAAGCCAAGAAATGAACTGTTGAGATAAAACCAACTTGTTTCGCGCGCTCATATGACCTTATGCAGTTGCGAGCGCCGTAAAACCCCATACTAATACTTCTAATACTGTCCTTTTTGTCGATTAGCATTACGGATTAGTTCATGAGATTGTTGTCTCCCTCAATTGCTCTTTTTTTTCCAGCAAGTGTAGTGTTAGAGACAAATCATGAACTTCACGATATCGCCCTTTTTCCCCAGTGAGCTGCAAGAATGACCTGATGACGTTCTCGAGGCTGTTCTCTGAGCACAGCCGAGTGAACCTTACGGACAGTCATACGTGGCTGTCTGTGATCCTGTGTCCAGAGAAGAGCATGTTCACTCGCGTCCAGCGGCTTGCCACTTGCCTCATGACACTGCATCTGGCCATGATCGCCAATGCTCTTTTCTACAAGCCGGAGGATGGTGAAGGCGTCTCCTCTAGTGAGTGTTGAGATAAAGTCATGCTACGAGATACAAAATTGTGAGGCATTGTGGTGAAATCAGGCGCTCGTCAATATAATGAAATTAAAAAACCCAAACATTTTCCACCATTATAGCGATTCTTATCTGATGTTTGGTTTTTTGGCTCAACACATTTTGTGTCCATATGAAAACACATTTCCATATGGATTTTTATTGAAAAACGTTGATTAATGGCACAAAAAAATGTAAATTTTCTGTTTTCATGGACTCTCAAGCTATAGGTGACACAATTGTGCTTTTTGCAAAGGTAGGGTCCTTGGTTCCTAAAGAATAAAAAATAAATAATAAAAATAAATTACACTTTTATTTGTCCCAGAAGGGCACTTTATTTTACAATGGCAAACATACATACGTAAATACATAATTATAAATACGTACATACATAAATACATACATGCATAAATACATACATAAATACACACAATTACATAAATACATACCAGTTTACAAACAATGCCACTGTCGGTCGCCACTGTGCAGCGCCCTGTAATTTGAGCTAGGGTGGTCGTGTCTTGCTCAAGGACAGTCCAGTGACCATCCATCTGATCCCTGTGTCACCGACACTTGCTTGACATTGCTTGAGTCTAAACTCACTACTCACTTAGCCACTGGAGCCTTGATCTCTGAGAAAATATTCCTGGAATGAACAAAAAGTGTATTTGACTTAGTATTGAACCTTGAATGTACACGTGTTAACTGTGGACTGCATCCAACCATATTTTGGGGAAGAGAAAAAAGATTGCTTGCATCTCCCACTGTGTGTGGGTAGGCACGCACATACATATGTGTACACACATATAACATGCATACACACACGTACACATGAGTGCATGTTCACTCACAAATAGATGATATGTACACACTCACAGATCTGCGCACTTACACATACACATACACACACACACACACGTACACACTCACTCACACATACACATATAAATTGTACAGGATCAAGTTCTTGTTGTGACCATAATTAGTGCTCATCTCTACTAGCAGGAGAGACGTGAAATAACATGGTTCAACAAAAAGATGAAATGAAGAATGGTCTCTAGACTCGTGTTCTTGGAACAAAGGAGGTGCACCAACCACTCAGTTATGGATATATTATAATCCTGTGTAACAATATAAATCACCTTTGTTCAAGTCCTTTCTCGAACTTGGATTGTTTATGAAGTCGCCATGGTTTTGTACTGAACTCTCTTTAGACTACAGTAGACTGCACAAAACCTATCCCTTATCTCTTCTCTTCACCCCATATCTATTTTTCACTAGAACACTTCGTAGTCCTTGTTAGTCTTGTCATGCAGTGTTTATCCCTGATCTTTTCTCTCCATCCTGTGTTTGTTTTTATCCGCAACTCTCCATAGCGTGGGTGGTTGCGGGGGCGCCACTGATAGATCCTGTTTCTTCACTTTCCCTCTGTTGTTTCTGTCTGTCTTACTTTTTCCCCAGCACTAAATGACCATTATTCAGTCGATGTGCTTCTCTTTACTCAAACAAACATAAACTCTCCATAGCCTTCATTGTTTGTGCAATGTCTATTCATTATCTTTTCTCTCCATCCTGTATCTATTTTTTTCTCAAGGACTCTCTTTCGTCTTCATTATTCTCGTAATGCTTAGGCTATCCTTTATCTTTTCTCTCTATCCCGAGTCTTTTTTATTTACAGAACTCATTGTAGACTTCATTAATGTGCTTAACCTATTCTTATAAAAAGAGATGTAATGGTAACTGTGCCTGACGGGGAAATAGAGGCAAAGAGAAATAAGGGAAGACCGCTTACATCATTTATTGAAAATGTAAGATCCGACAGTAATCTATAACTTCATGAAATAATGCACCAATGCAGAGACTGAGGAAGATGAAGACTTGTTGTGGCAAGGAGTTGGAACAAACAAGTGATGAGTAGGCGACATATTATGACAAATCCCTTAATGTTTTTCTCCAGACTCTCCTGGCCCAGAAATCCAGATTGGCCAACTCCGCTTCTCTTTGACCACTCTGTACACGTCAGTCGTGAGTGGGCTCATCACTGTTCCTCCAGTTCTCCTGGTGGTTTGGCTTTTCAAACAGCGTCGCCCATGGCGCTCCTCAGAGGCTGATAGGAGCAGAAGGCTCAGCTCACACCATGGAGGAAGCACGGTGCCCCTGGAGGGAAACTGTAAGGCTGGCTGTGATGATGTGTTTGTTGTTTCTCAACTGCATTCTTGAGATACAGCACAGCATAGGTTCTAAGAAACGTTGTCTTTCTAATGGAAGTTTGAGTCTTCAACTTGAATCTATTCTTGCATGCTCATAGGACCCTATGCAGTGTGAATGCTGTAAAACTTTTACCAAAGCTATATTGAAATCTATTCTCAAGAAATCTTTATATTTCAGAAATAAGATTTTTCAGAACATTACTAAAAGTTTTTTTGATTAGATTTATCAAAGATATACTTTAGATTTGAAGTTTTGCACTTTGAATAAATTTGCATGAATGAATTTTATTCTATATGAGATAGATAATCTGTACTTCACTGCAGTAGCATGTTATATATTGTGTGATAAAAAAAGTGCTCATGTTCTTGCAACAGAGAATTAACGTCCCATGAAATTTGAAATAGACTAAAGTCATACTTTTACACAAATTGACATTTCGATAGCCGCGTGATTCAACTGTCTAAGGGACAAAATTTTCGAAAATCACTTTTTATCCCTTTGCGTAGTGCAACCGTAGAATCATCTTTTGATAAAATCCCTAGTTTAAAAGACTATTGCAAAGTGTTTCAATCCTTCGGTAAATCAATCGCCCATGTCCACGAATTTGAAAATTGTATATGATTCAACCAACTAAGGGCCAGCTTCGCTGCACGCGGCGAATGAGTGGTTGAATTACACAGATATGCAGAGGCTTGTGAGGTGATCACCTGTCGCGTAGGCGGACCAACCCACTTGACTGTGGGCTTTGTCAAGGCGCACTGGAGGGTAACAACAAAGAAAAGTGTCACCTTTGTTGACATCGACTCAGACTGACACCTACCTATGACCAGAACTTTTCGGCTAGACAGTTTGCGAAATCAATTCGCACCTAGGTTGGGTTGCGTTTTTGAGAGACGATATAAAAGAAAATTTTAATGCTGACCTGATCAAGTGGATGGATTGTTGCAAAATCTATTGACCAATGAATTTCAAAGTGTTTGTGATTGACAGCTAGTTAATAAATGTTGAGTTTTGAGTACAGCGCATCTATAGGTCAATATCACTTAGGGATCTGGGGTACAGCTCATGGCATCACTTTTCAACCATTCTGTTACGTTTAGTTAGCGTGACTTAGCAGCCCACTGCAGCTCCCCAGTTCGGGGTCATGGGGATGCACTATAAGCTCAATGTCTTGAGATTTATTCTGCGTTAGAATGGTTAATTTCTGTGCCTTAGTTTTAGTTCTAGACAAGTGTTTGTAGAGTACCCAATTTGTCCTATTTTACTTACAAACTTAAGAATAAATGATTTTTAATTTTAAAACGGCACAACAGATCTTTCCAAAATCTGTGCTAAACTGACTATGAATATCATGTCTTTTGCCTTGAGAAATCTTAAATCTGCGCCAGAAGTAATAGTCAAGTTATAAGAAAAGAAAGATGCAAATCTGCATTTTTTAGCTAAAGGCGATCTTCATTAGCCCTTATTTTATTATTAAACAAGAGAAAGTTACTCTGCGTTTGTTCATGAATCCTGCTGTGTCTGTGGCAGCCTGCTTGCAACTAAAAAAGATATAATATAAGAGATTGAAAAAACAGTAAACCATGTAAATACATGGGTAGAGATAAACTTCTTGTATGGAATAAAAATAATAACAGCTAACACATTCATTCTTAGTTTTTTGTTTGGGAAATATGTCCAGACACAATTATGAATATAAAGAAATCAGAACATTGTCAGTTATTGCAAATGGTCATAGAAACGAAAATTAAAGCTGGAAAAGTCTGGTGCTGATTCAGTGTCACTAGAAAGCTAGAAATTATTCTTATAACCCAATTACGAGAAGTCATATCTATTATTCAGTCAACTTACAAAACCTAGATTTAACATTTTTAGAAAAGTCAGGTACTTTTGGAGTTTAACAGATACTGTTCATGTATAACATTGAAGATATATTCTGGCTCTAAAATCGATTTGTACTTTTCATAGAGAAACTTCAGGGTAACTTTGATAAACTTTCTAGAAAATATGCGAATATTCACGATTATATTAGACACATGAATTGTATTTGGAGGAATTACTTCATAGCAAATTGTGCGCTCGATGGATTAAGTTGCAAAATTACAGCTTTCTATTATATGTGCAGATACCATCTTTTCTGAGTATCTGCACCAATGTTATGTCGTTCATGTTCCAAAAGTTCGACAGATTTTGTCGTGCCATTTTTTTATATTGATTTTTTTCATTCACGCTAGTCCCAACAAATTTTTTTCTAATAAATTCGTGGGGTATTTATTTTTGTTGAGATAACAACAAATAATAACTGATAACAACTGATAGCAATAAAATAACGACAAATATCAACACAAACGTCCTAATTTAGTTACTTTTACTTCATTTTTAAGGTAGTCAAGTGTTATTCGTTGTTATCGGTTGTTATTTGTTATCTCGCCTAAGATAAATACTGGTGATGTATTGATTTTTGTCGAGATAACATCAAATAACAACTGATAATAATTGATAGCCATAAAATAACGACAAATATCAACATAAACGTCCTAATTTGGTTACTTTTGCTTGGTTTTTAAAGTAGTCAGTTTTTATTTGTTGATATCTCGTCAAAAATAAATACCCCACCAATTTATCGGGGAGAAAAACTAAATTAGGACGTTTGTGTTGATATTTGTTGTTATTTTGTTGTTGTCTGTTGTTATTTGCTCTCATTAGTTGTTATCTGTTGTTATCTGTTGTTATCTGTTGTTATCTCGACAAAGATAAATACCCCACCAGTATTTATCTTTGTCGAGAAAACAACAAATAACAACTGATAACAACAAATGACAACTGACTACCTTAAAAACCAAGTAAAAGTAACTAAATAAGGATGTTTGTGTTGATATTTGTCGTTATTTTATTGTTATCAGTTGTTAATTGTTGTTATCTGTTGTTATCTCGACAAAGATAAATACCCACATAAATACCTCGAAAAGGACATACACAAATGGAAGTTTCAGTGAAAGGTTCCTGAAAAACACTGTGATCTATGTGCCCTTGGACTATGTGAATGTTTTTAAGACAACACGATAAAATCCACCCCACTTCGATGTTGGACTTCTGGATCATTCTTTTCTAAATGGATTTTTCCAAAACCGGACTATATAAAAATATCAGACCTGGCCGCAGCAAAGGCGACCCCATTGTTTCAAATATCCGTTGTTTTCGATACACATCGGACAGAAACATTCAGTATAAATTAAACTATGAGGATGAATGGGTTTTTACCAACACCAAGAGGACAAAACAGTTCTGCTCCAGAAGCTCCAATCCCTCTGTATTCGGATAACCTCAAAATTCAGCAATCAAATACACAAATGCCTACAGGAATTCAAAAGTGTGATTCCCAAAGATCATCATTCTTTCTATGGTAATCTCCGACACTAGGGGTCAACGAATCAACTAATTTATAATATAATTAATGACAGGAGTAGGCCAACTTCAGTTTTGTTAATTAAGTTTACTACAATATTTCTTTCTACGGTCAGATTTTTAAAGGCTCGAGAGGTTGGCGGTGGGGGAAGGAGGAATTTACAACGCATTTATTTGGTTTTAAATAATCATGTCTTTACTTGTATAAAGACAATAAAAGTTTGGAAGAATATAACTAATTTCATGTTACTTGTGCCTATTTACTTTGTCTTTCAAGCAAACTTTGACTTTATTTCTTTTATCTAAAATACTACTTGCTTGATTTTTTTAATACTACTTGCTTGATTTTTTTATTTGGTGTGCTTAAAATATAAGTTAAGGTACCCCACGGCAGTAGGTAACAGCCAGAAAAAGTTGATTTTGGACTATTTTTTGTAGAGCAACATCTGCTTTATCGATCGGTAATATTTTCTAGTGTCTAAAACATCTATAAAGTGTTCACATATGTGTCATGGCGTGATGGAATCAGGCGCTGGTCAATTTTTGGCTGTGTGGAGTTAATGGTATCATTTGAAAGCTGATTTATTTGCCTTGCTTCCAATGAAATAAACGTTCTATCTATCTTGAATAGAACTCAAGATATTTGCGATTGAAGGAGGTGAGGTCGCCATTGAAATTAGCGAGAAAATAACCCCCAAAGTTTGGAAACTCCAATAACTAAAGAGTCTCTGAAAACTGAAAAATGACACATTTTGTGCCTTTAATCAACGTTTTTCAGTAACATTCACATGGAAATATGTTTTTATATGGACATTCCAGGAGGGGCAAAAGATAAAAATTTGACAAAATTCCCAAACTGTTGGAAAAATGCCTGTTTCTTCTTCGATTTCGTTATTTTGACGAGCGCCTGATTTCACCTCGCTACCTCACATATGCCATGTTTTTTAACATTGTGTTGAAATAGACCAGTATGAATTTTTTTTTTTTCAGTTTTCTCAAACCTATGATTTTCTTAAAGGGGTGGGTCACCCATGCAGAGATATTTCTGAAAGTACATGTCACAGCTCAATCCCACTTTGCATGACTGTTTCTATATAATATGTTTGCAATGTACTAAATGATTATTGTGACTTTGTCATAAGTTTTCTGTCAGTGTTAAAAAGATTGATAGTATCACTCTGATTTGTGATCAATTTTTTTGGTCAGAGTATGGTATATGACACTAAAAGGGCAGTTACAAGAAAAGTATGAGACTAAGGAAAGTAAATCTTTAGTACGTTGCAGGTTGGATATACAGAAACGTGTGAAAATATCAAGACTGTATCAATTCAATCTTTTTCAGAATCCCTGCATAGAATTTGCGTGACTTTTGGTCTGTCGAACCCTTTGCATCTAAAGAATTTTTAAAAATAACAATGAAATCATATAGGGATAGTTTGTTTCTGTTTCTTGACCCATATTGGCTATTGGGAATCCAGTATACTTAATTTAGAGTCCAAACAAAAATTTTCACTTCGGTTAGCCTCCTAAAATTTTCACTTCGGCTAGCCACCACTTCTTGAGCCTCCAAGTTGCGTCTTTTCATAACTCAAACGCCCAAGCGACCACTGGCGCTCGTCGAATGGCTTTGATTAAAGTAATTCAACAGCCCTGACACCATCCTGTTAATTAGGTGGTTGAATCACGCAGATTTAGGTATGCCTCAAACGCCAATTAGAAATAAAAATTGGTTACATACCATTGTCCTACATCACATTACATTATATATCTGAATTTCAGATTCACAGGGGCGTACATAAAGAAATAAAACCGTTTTTTTCTTCTCCTGTAAAATTTGTCTCATGGCACTTAGGCGGTTGAATCATGCGGCTAGCGATTTGCATGATCAGTGCTTTCATGTTTCTGAAATAACTACTTCTCTAATAAGACTGCGCAGAAGGGCAGAAGTAGAAGTCTTTTTCTTAAAGCGACAAATCTTATATTCGGTGCCTACAGCAGAAAGTTTTGTCAAATTTTGATTTGACATGGTCTTATAATTAGAGGGTGGCCAGCTTTTCTTTCATTGACAGGCAAAAACTACCATTTTGGCACAATTAGATAAATTCTTCAAAGAGTAAACATATTTGATGTTTTTGATCACAATCAGGTATATTTGATGAAAACTATGGCCCACAGCCAGTCAGAAGACTACCTATTTGTCATAAGATGTTGCATGGTCCATTTTTCTTCTTTGTTTGCTGAAAGTAACAGGCTGTTATATGGACTTCAGGGTCAAATTTGATGAAGCAGAACAAAGATCTATGATAGGCCTATTATATGCACTGGCCAGCACCATTTTTAGATTGGAATGTATCCAATCTGTTCATGCAGATTGATTCCATTTGACCAAATGTCATCCATTTTAAGCCACCCTTTCTTTCTTTCATTCCTTCTTTTTTTCTTTCTTTCATTCATTCTTCTGTTAGTGTCAGACTCGAAGGCATCCCTGAACATTCCTGATTCTTGTGAGGCCAACCTGGTCTCTCGGTTCGACAAGAACCCCCTGCCGCCCTGGTGCCTCTATGTTGCCTGGACCATTATGACTATCACGAGCCTCTCCTGCTGTTTTTTTCTCCTCCTCTACTCCATGCAGTGGGGCAAGACGGTCTCTGGTAAGGACACACTCAAACAAGAAATACGTGCACGAGGCTCACTCAAGGTTTTCTTTGCCGTTGGTTTAACAGTCATTTCTATCTTAATAAATAATTACAATAAATAGTATTTGTATAACGCAAATTCCGGCTCAACAACTAATTCTATATGCTTTACAATCTATCTTGAATTATTACCCCAGCAGACCTGATAGCATTCTGAAACAATCTCAATTTCCTGGGAAGCACACAGAAGTCGGCATGTTTACTGACAAGATACTTATGCATAATTATTGTTCTGTATTGTTTTCCTCAGTTATAATACATAGGCCCTATCTACTTGGCTGTACTGCCGCTGTATCTTCACATATATATAACATTTTTATTCTTTTCATAAGACTTCGAAGTATTGCATGCTTGTGGTTTGAAGACTACCATTTTTAGGCTTAAAGTTATAATTTATACATAATAATAATAATAATATGTGTGCCTGGAGAAAAGTCCTGTTGTCAGAAACTTTGGATTTTATATAAGGCATATTCTTGTGGCAAATTCAATGCTGAACACTCTGTTTTAAAATTTGTTCAAATCTTACTGATCCACCCTTGTAATGTCCTCCCGTCTAAATGTTTCAGAGGAGTGGCTTGCTTCATTCTTCTTGTCATTTCTGGAAAGTGTTTTCGTCTTAGATCCTGTCAAGGTGTGTACATATTTCTTTCTATGTCAGATTTATTAACTAATTTATAATAAGGACATCTTTACAAATTCATGTTCCCGTAATAAAG